CTGGGGGATCATTGAGCAGCGATAGATGCATCAGCAGTCGATTTAAGTGGTCTCGTGAAGACCTACTAAATTGGCTGCAGATCGCTCTCTTCTCAACTCCTGTACTCCACCAGATCAAGGCAAGTAGGGGGAGTTGATGGGAGAGCGTCTCCTGTCAACTTTGCGTACTGTGGACACTGCAGTAAGTAGATCTAAGCTACGTTGACTTGAGTTACACTATTCATGTAACTCAAATTGCGTAGCTTAGATCACCTTTTCCCTTTAGTGTAGACAAGGCATTGCATTTGGGCTGGAGGAGTAATTCTGTTAATGACTGTGTGCTTTTTAAGTTTATGGATACACTTGAACAGACAAGAGACCCTAGAGTTCATTCATTTAACATTTTACAAAATGTTGTTTTTAATTACTATTTCCCTTAATTTAAAAATGTTTTTGGAAGGAAATGTATGCACAAGAGGCATTGTTAGCGACCTCTTCTTCTTCTCATAAAGCAAACAAACAAAAAGACCTCATATGATATATTGAGACACAGATGACCACTGGGTTTTTCATCTCATGCGTGATTTAGAAAATAGGAACCAAAACAGATCTATGCCTCACCACAGAAAGCATAACAGTACCGTATTCACATATACATATAACATAACCTTTCAAATCAATTGTTGGTATTTGCTGTGGGTGGGTTTGGCACCAGTGCTCATTAAATGTGTATTAGAAAGGAGAAGTGTAAGATTGGTTGCCTAGTCTAGAGAATACAAAGGACGAATTATTCTGACCTAATCTAATAGTTTTTCTTTCCAAACTGTCATAAAATGTAAAATGCTGAGTGATGGTTTAAAGCAAGACTTATTGCTTGCAGTTTTTCAAGTTAATCTATACATTTCACCAGCCATATTGTAGGTGAGCATCACATGTGACTTTTAACTACAATTTACAAGTTACAAATCCTCTAACTTGTTAGGTCTGATCAAGCTGTATAAAAATAAGAGGCAGCGTTAAACAGTCATCAGTGAACTTACCAACAAAAGACGTTTTAACAGCATGGTTGCATTTAACAATACGGTTTAACAATAGGGTTGCATCCTTCCTTCCAGCATAATTTTCATCAGCAGCATCTTCTGTTGAAACCAGTACTAAACTAAGACATAGGCATAGTTTTGCAATAGACAGAAATGAAAACTTTTGTTCCCTTAACAGGGAGTTAAGGTTTTGGTGACGTACATTTTTTATTAGTACAACAATGGCTAGAGGAGCACAAGGTTGAGTCTTGCTCCTGGATATCTGATTCCTATAGGAGAAATTATAAATAAAGCTGTTTCAGATTGCATTTAAAACTGAGACCCAGCTTGTACAGTGGATGGATATTTAGACTATAAGCTCTTTAGGGCAGGGACTATCCTTTTTTCTGTTTCTACAGTGTTTAACACAACAGGGCCTAGACCTTGGTTGGGACCTTATGTCCCACCACAATATATGTAATACTAAGAGTAAGCAGACACTTACCCCTGAAATTCTGCCCACGGATGCCAATGGGAGCATCCAGTGACTTGAGTTTGGCCCTGAAGCATTAAATCTGCAGTAATTAGTTTCTAAAAATCCAGAATAAATACACAATTGTTTCATTTGCTGCTCAGAACTATGAATTTTGACAAATTTGTCCTGCATTCTGTTTTCTGCTATTACTCTAATAGTCATTGTTACAATAACTGAAAGTAACCTGAAAAGTTATGTAAGAGAAACCTGTACTTCCTTTAATGTACTCCAAGGTCAGTTGAAGGGAGAATTAAAAAAAACCTCTGTATAAGAGCAAATACACTGCAGGCTTGTAACTCCCATGACAATAAATGCTTTCTTAATAATAGAGTATTTACCCCCTCTCCCAAGAAGATGGTGAAGACTAATAAAAGCTAAACTTCATATTTTTAAAAGCACAACAGACAAGTACACTAGCCTTTCACCCTCAGAGACTTGAGTTCAAATTCTCTTTTTGAGTTAAGAAGGATGGTAATTCCCCATCTAAGGGCACCATAAAAACTGTCTGTTTGGCACAGTAGGAAGTAGCACAAACATGTTCCAAGTCAGGATTGAGGTACAGTGACAGAGCTGGGTGAAGAAGTTTGCACACTATCAGGGTCTGCTTTGACTGATGAAAACCAAGGATGAACTCCTGACCCCAATAAAGTCAATAGGAGTTTTAGCAATTGATGTCAGATGGGTCAGGGTTTCCTCACAGGAGTTTTAATCCTTTTTATATGGTCACTAGACTGACTCTCATTTGTCATTTTAAAAAAAATCATAGCCACAAGGCTCCAATTAGTATTACATTTGGACATTAATATATGTGTGCTATTACTATGGTAACACTCAAATAATTTTAAAATCTTAACTATTTAGGCAACACATTTTTATTCAAAGTATTCCATATTTGATCTTGAATGCTAATATATTGTATTCACTTTCTCCTTAGTGAAAAACAATTATTTGAACAGTAAGGACCAAGTTAAGCAGAGATAAAGGTACTGTGGTCTAGTGGATATGACGTTGGCCTGGGACTCAGGGCACTTGGGTGCTATTTCCAGCCCTGCCACTAACTTGCTGTGCGACCTTGAGCAAATCACCTCACCTCTCTGCTCTTCTCCTGCCAGTTGTCTGTCTTGCCTATTTACGTGGAATGTTCTTAGGGCAAGGACTGTCTCTTGGGAACGGGCACGGGATGGATCACTTGATGATTACCTGTTCTGTTCATTCCCTCTGGGGCACCTGGCATTGGCCACTGTCAGAAGACAGGATACTGGGCTAGATGGACCTTTGGTGTGACTCAGTATCGTTGTTCTGATGTTCTTATGTCTGTACAGTGCCTTGCACAGGGGGGCCCTGATCTCATTTAGAGCCCTTAGATACTATTGTAACATAAATCGTCATCTCTTTATATTGATGAATTTGAGATAAAATAAAATACCATCTGGCTAACAAAAGACATAATCAGTCGAAAAACATATTAGAAATATTACAATAAGAAATTTTTGGTAAGAAACTGTTTGTATTTTCTAACCTAAAACATCTGAATGTCTTCTTTTATAGCTGTATGTGTGCTTCCTTCTATTCTGACTACATTATTATTTATGTGTTAACCAACACAATACAACTCATGGTCCCTGCCTCAAAGAGCTCACAATTTCAGATGCATATAAGGACTATATGCAGTACTCTCTAGTGTCATTGTATTGGGAAAAAAAAGTCTCCTTAAGGTATGAATTCCTCCCCTTCTCCTATGCCACAATGATATTTAATATATAGCTTTGTTGTCTAGTCCACAAAATGATCTACTGTGGAATAGATAAAGCAATTTCTCTGCCTTAACTTGAAAGCTGATATGCTGTAGCATACTTTTCTAAAATAAGGCCCTGATCTCACAAACATGTATGCATGTGCATAACTTTACTCATACAAACAGTCCCATTATGCATGTTTGCAGGATTGGGACCCAAGACCTGAAGATATACTATACTCTAGCCTAAATTTGGCAGTTGAACAGTCTCTTGTGTTTTTAAAAAGCACCTTCAATAAGTGCAGGTCACAAACTATTCAAGACGCCCACTTGGGTAAATAAAACCTATAATTTAGTATCCAAGCTTACATAACTTAAAAAAACAAAAACATCATATAAAAAACGCAGAACATATTTGCCTATGAAATATATGCGGTCTTGACAGTACATGATACTGCATCTATATAGTTAAAACTGGAAATGTAATTCGCTGTTACACTAAATGTTTCTTTGGTTTAGTTACAAGAGGAAATGAGCATCCTGTGTACTCTTACAATGAATATACTTAAAAGAATGAAAATTAGTACATGAAAAAGTTAAATTCTATGGGCCTAATTATAATTCAGGCAAAACTCACTTGGGGATTCTGGCTTAGAAAATACAGGACTGGGCATCTGATCCTTTAACTGCAGTGAATACAGTAAATTTAAATATGGAAATATCTTGGATGTTAAAGCAACATTATAAGTTTTGTACAATGTGACATTGGAATGAGGAGAAACAGGTTTAACGTGTCAGCTAAGGTACTGATCCTGCAGTGAACTCTGCAGTGGCAGATGAGGCTCTACAATAGGCACAGAGGTCAGATCACAAAGAACCCATTGCAGTATCAGAGTATAGTTACAAAAGTTGTATTTTCTTGATCTCTGTGTAAACATCTCAGCAACTCCCACAGTGGACTGACTGGAGGATGAAGTCTGAATTTACATTCCAGCTCAGAGACCGTAATTAAGTATGGGACCTGGCCCTTTCCTCTGAATGAGTTTGCTGTTGCTAACTCTCAGGATTTTATCATAAGTCTCATGATGTTGGGTGTTTTTCTTAAAGTCCAGCTCCTTGCATGTTGTGAATTCATGAGAAACTCAACTTACTTTCTTCTTCTTCTTTTTTTTTTTTAAGGGAAGTTTCCAGGCCTCATGGTTGTGGGGGAAAAAAGGTTGAGCTTGTGACCCAAGTTCATCTGAAAGGAACAAAATCTAAAGAGCAGATAAAAAGATCCTTTTTTTAATCTTGTGCTTTTGAAGAACGTGACTCCTGATTTTTGAATGCTTGAGACTGCCAATAGTGAATCTGACGCCCTGATCTTAAAAAGTTTAAGTTAGTGCTTAATTAGATTCCAGAATCTACACTTAGCAAAATTATTTGAACTTTACCCTGGGAAATATTCAGTTCTCATTTAATCTGTTATATGTAAAGGCATTTCATAATTTAAAATATTACATAAAAATGTGTATGTGTTTATTTTCTTAAATTGATAAGATTGGTGGTATGTGACTATTTAAATACAAAGGGTAGTATATTATTATGTAGTGTCATATTATGTATAATCAGTAGGGCTGTCAAGCAATTATAAAAATTAATCACAATTAATTGTGCTATTAAACAATAACAGAATATGATTTATTTAAATATTTTTGATGTTTTTTACATTTTCAAATATATTGATTTCAATTACAACAGAATACAAAGTGTACAGTGCTTCACCAGCCATCAGCCGTTGTTGTGAAAGGTCTAAGAGCAGATTTCTGGTTCTTTGGCAGTTCTGGTGGAGGTGTCCCTGTAGCTCTGACTATAGCATTGTCAGGAGAGCTGCCCATGCCTGACTGAGAAAAACAGAGATGTTCCAATTTAGCATCAAATAAACATTTTACGAAACTTAACTTTACCATCTCTCTCACCCACACCTATGTATTTGCTTAAACTACAAAACCTCATAAAATAACCAGACCAATAAGCAAAATATATTTACTGGGCTTATATTTACAGCTGTTGATGCTGATGGATTTGCCTTTTCAGCTGTCTCTTTCCTTTTTCTTTTGAGCTTGTTTACCTTCATAGAGAAGCTGTGAGATTATTCCCACAAAATGACAATGTTATAAATGGAGTAACTGTTCCTATTATAATTCTAAAAGCCCCTGTTGACATGGGTTATGAAACCATATCCTGATTTCAGAGGACCTGTCAACAAAAGGTTCAGCTACATGCTAGCTGTATGAAGGTGGTGGAATGTGCATTTGGCAGATTAAAAGCCTGCTGGCACAGCCTTCAAAATCATTTGGAATCCAGTGTCATTAATGAAGTCAACAATATTGAGGATTGCTGTGCCCTACACAATGTTTGCAAAGAGAAGGGGGAACCTTTTCATCAGGAATGGAATCAGGACACTGCTGACAGCTGAACCAGTACACACAACCAGACAGTGGTTACTCATGCAATGGAAATCTGAGATCCTTAGAATAATAAGAGCTCAATAATATAATGGGTATGCCTGGTCCCATTCATGAGGGGTAATGAAATGGTATTTGAAGTGGTTGTGTGCGTGATCCTTCTTGTAAATGTGTAGGTATTGTATATCATGAATTCTGTAAATACTTCGATAACATACATTATGCATGTTATCCATACTGGCAATGTGCTGCCATTTACAGGTTATGGATTACTGTGATGGCAGTTTGTATATGTTTATTATGAAACTTTGAGATTAGGTATTTGATGAAATTCATTAAAGTCTGTGCCACTTTTACCACTACCTATAATAAAATTTGTTACTCTTGCCTTCTGTACAAATCCAACATTTTATTTCACATAGGTATTTACAAGCTGCAACAACCAGTAATGCAGACCAGCTGACCTCTCTCCAAGAATGTATCTGCCAGTCTCTCCTCATGCTGTGCAGCCTCTGTGTCTTTCTTCCCTGCAAATATCCTTATCCTTTTGGTGGTTGAGTTGGAACCTGGAATTTGTTTAATCAAGCAGGTCTCCCATTAGCTCATCCTAGACTCTCTTTCTCTTCCCCACAGTAAGGTGGTTCAGGCACCCAGGCTTCAGGTGCCATGATTTATCCTGTGGAGGTGGAAGGCCCTTGAAAAGAGGGAAACAGAGAACATTATTGCCTGAGCATGGTAAAAAAATACATTGGAAACAAATGGTTACATAAAAAATAAAATCGTAACTCAGAATCTACAGCCTGGACTTCAAAAACAAGGGATGTCTCTGTGACGATCCACAGGGCTAGGGCCTAGGTCAGATAGTCCCTGAGCATCTGCTGTATCCACACCACCACCCAACAACTTTGACAGAGCAGCAACTGACTGACTGTGAGTCCTGTGGGACCAAGCACCACTGAACTACAGAGATGCTGACTGGGAGAGCCTATTGCATTCACTAGTTGGCTGAAGCATGTTATTTAAAGCCTAAGAGAGGAACATCTGGAGGCATCCAATTCACTCCTGATACATTGTATTGCTCCTGGTTTCTGGCCCCAATCCTGCTTCTGATACCTAATCTGGCTTCTGGTTCCTAGTCCTCTGCTCCTGCATTCTCACCCTGCCTCTGTTTCACTAATCCTACTTTGGCTGACTCACATGGCTCTGATCTGGTGTGGCTTGACTTGACTCCAACCTGATCATATGGCTTGACACTAATACAGACTGCTGGTTTGGGCTTAGACCCTCTAGACTGAACTGGGACAATGTCCCCACAAATCCAGGCCCCAGGCTTGACCCAGGCCCTGTAGCGAGGGTCCTGACAATTTCTTTGCACTCCAAGATACACCAGACCAATCCTTTGTCTTTATTCATAAAGAAGACACCCCCTTGCTATTTGTTTCACCCTGTAGATTTCCTTTCTTGGAGATTTCACAATGTCTCAATTGGCACCTGCTCAGCATACAAATAGACACAAAGTGTGAGGCATACAGTTGACAAATGGCCAGAAAGGGAAACAGGTGTCAGTTACCTCCTGCTTGAGGGGAATATCTCTAAGAGATGTCACCTCCTGGTGACCTGCCTTAACTCCAACACTTTAAGAGCATAATTTTCAGTATAGATACACAACTCCTTAAATATAGATACACAACTCCATACATTTTCCAATGACTATGATGACCAGAGGGCTACTGGCTCTAGGTAGAGATTTCACAAGCCGCCTTTACATGAACTATTATGCAGATATCCAACCCAGGGGATCCTGTAAAACTTTGTGCATCCCCTGTGCCCTCTGCCAGTTGGCACCAAGGGATCCCTGGGTCACAGTATTGCATTGCAGTAGACCAGCCGAGAGGTGATGAAGGCATGAATAACTGAGGCCAAGTCTTTGTCTGCCAGGATGCAATGGTGTCTTCTAGCCAACAGGAGGAGATGGTAGAAAGCGTTACTTCTGGCTGCTGTGATGTGAGAGCTCAACATCACCAAGGGATCCAAGAGTATTACTGGGTGATCACATGCCCCCAAATCAGCATTTAGGCTTCTGGCATAAAATAATGATAAAATTCTGAGAGACCACACAAAGAAGCTTTCTGTGAGTTGTATGCTCCCAGTCTTGTATGTTGATTTGCTGGTCTCTGAAGTTAGTCACAGCAAGATTAGAATGCTGTCTTAAAAGGCTACTAAACTGCATCTCGCATTCAGAAGATGTGAATGCTGCATGCTTCAATGTTGATTTTGGGATAGACTAGCAACTGAATATGTTTACAGATGTTTGCACGATTATATGCAATTCATGGGCACAAAGAAGTCTATGAAGTTTCCACCACTTTAGAATTTCTCTGCATTTATTTTGACATTCAGCAGAAGGGACGCCAGAGTACAGAACCTTGGAAGATGATTGCCCATAACCAGCACAAATATTTATTGATATCAAAATTATAAAAATAGGGTGAGAAATGTAACAGAAAATATAAATACATTATTAATCCCAGTCTTCTCTTTTTTGCTGTTGCCAGTGTAGACTAACTACTTGCTCTGGTCTTTGCTGAAATGTTCGGTCTGATCTTGAACCCTTTGCTTTATAAAGAAGTTTTTTAAGTTGATAGTTGGATGGCAACCCATCCTCTACCCCACTATTGGCTCCTGAATACTTCTTAGCAAAAATCAGTGCCTTTAGTATATGAAGTAAGCCACATCATAGCAACAGTTGGCTAGGACTGAAGTATCCAGGGTAGGTTTGTTCAGTGTTGATTGAACTATTGCGTGTTTAAATGTGAAAGGGAAGATTCCTCTCTGAACAAGGCATTGGCTATTTTCGTTAGGAGTCACAGTCACACCAGTTGTTCATGACTCTCACAGACCAGGAAGGACACGGGTCGGATTCACAAATCTTGGGTTGGGGTTCCTTTATGATGTCCAGAACGTTTTGACTAGTGAATGTACGACCAAGCAGCTCTCCGAAGACCATGAGCAAGACAATAATCACAGACATATGATTCTTCTTAAGGTTCCCATACCTTCTTTATGCCCACTGCCACAATTCTGGGGTGGTTCCCAGATCTAGTCTGTGTCTAACCAACCATTCTTTGAAATGCCATTATCACCTCCTTTTGTGTGAGCTTGAACATTTCTAATATTTTCTCTCCTTTGGAAAATAAATTTGTCTGCACCCTCAGCCTTCCTTTTTCCCTTGAGAAATAATATAATCTGTCTACAGTCCTAATTTTCTATAACCGATATTATTTTACAGGTCTTGTTTTGCTGACCTCTTTTTCTTTATACAGTGTATCTGCAGCATAATATTTCTTGTAAAATCTTTCATTTTATTTTTTATTGTAGGTCCTATTATTTTTTACAATGGACAGAGTTCCATTATCTTGACATTTGGCCTGATGATTTGACTTACTTTACACTAAGTCAGACACTGAAGAGAAGTAATAGACAAATATGTATATGCTGGGTTTTTTTAATACTACTAAGATGGTGGGATCATACCTTCTTCTATGATGACATTTGGGGAGAAGGAAAAAACACTTTTACCAATTCCATTGTGGAAAATACAGATCCACTGAAAACCATGGGCATCTGGGTGGGGGCCTTATGTATATTTTAGTTCAACTTTCAGTGAGAGAGGGGATCTCAAGAATAAAGGTCACTAACACACACTTCTGACATGCTCCAAAAACTTGTGTTTTGGAGAGACGGTAAAATTTAGTAGACAATATTTATAATGAGAAAATTCTTTTGCTGAATGTTTTCTTCTAAGTGTGAATAAAGTTTAACACATTATAAGCAAATGAACTATTTGTTTTTTCCTGACAGCTGCTGGGATAATCTGCAGACAGGAAAGTGAAACGGCCCCCTCTAAACTACATCTGTTAACTGACGCCTGATCTACACTACAAGGTCACTCACTGCAAGGCAGCTTACGTCGACCTAACTACGTAAGGGCAAGTCTGCACTTAAAACACTTATTGGCACAGCTGCGTTCATGCAGCTGCGCTGCTGAAACACTTTAATGAAGATGCTCTAAACTGACAGGAGAGAGCTCTCCCATAGGTGTAGTTAATCCACCTCCCTGAGAGGCAGCAGTTATGTCGATGGGAGAAGCTATCCTGCCGACAGCGCTGCCTACATGGGTGGTTAGGTCAGTAAAATTAAGTTACTCAGGGGTGAGGATTTTTCACACACCCAAGCAACATAGTTATACCAATATGGCTTTGTAGTGTAGACCAGACCTAAGTGTCAGCTAACATTTCGCTCCCCGCGACATAACTGCCCCGCTAGGCTGACTTAATAACTCCACCTCCAAGAGAGGCATAGAGTCAATGCCAATGTAGTTAGGTTGACACAGTGTCAGTGCAGACACTTCGTTACTTACATCAACTGTTACTGGCTTTCAGGAGCTGCCCCAAGATGCCCCACACTGACAGTACAGTTGGTACAAGTGCTCCTGGTGAGGACGCGCACTGCTGACACAAGGAGCATAGTGCGGATATGCAAAAGCGATTTAATTATTGCAATGGCTGTATGCCGACGTAACTCTGGTTGACATAATTTTGTAGTGTAGACATGCCTTGACTTTGTTGGCTTTGGTTAACAAATGGTTTTTAAGTCTGGCAGCCAACAATGATACTGCTTCCTTCCCCAGAACTGAAGAGCTCGGTATAGCTTGAAAGCTTGTACCTTCCCCCAACAGAAGTTAATCCAATAAAAAGATATTACCTCACCTACCTTGTCTCTGTCATATCCTGGGACCAACATGGCTACAACACTGCAACCAACAACATTTCACTTTTGTTTATGACCTAGGATAGCAAATGATAGTCCTCTGTTACTGGTCTTGCTGGTTTTTTTGCAAAGTAAATCTGATTCCCCAACTGTGCCTTTGTAACTAGTTTGGGCAATTCTTCCTCCTAGCTCTCTATGCAGTAGTATATGCCAGATTGTATTGTTCACACGCTACTGGTGCCACACTTTGTGCATTACCAGTCACTCAGGCCTGATCTACACTGAAAAGTTATATTGGCATAGGTTTGTTGGTCAGGGGTGTGAAAAGAAAACCCACACCTGTGACTGATGTAGCTATGCCGATATATCTCCCAGTGGAGACACAGCTATATTGACAAAAGAGAGTTTCTATTAACATAGCTAACTTTGTTTGAGGAGGTGATGTTTCTACAACCAACAGAAAACCCCCTTCTATTGGTGAAGGCTGCATCTACATTACAGAGCTATGCTGCCACAGCTAAGCTTGTATAGTCTCTGGGCTTGTCTACACTTACAGCACTGCACCATTGTAGTGCTTAGTGAAGATGCTACCTATGCCAATGGGAGAGCTTCTCCTGTTGGCATAGGTAGCTATGTCGATGAGAGAAGCCCTGTCAACACAGTGCTATTTACGAGGGGGTTAGGTGAGTATACCTACATTGTTTTCCACATCCCTGAGTGACATAGTTATACTGACATAAGTTAGTAGTGTACACCAGCCTCTGTCATATAGACACACTCTTATATTGATTTAAAATTGGCTTATATCAATTTAGATTATGAAATAAGCCACTCTGAAACAGAAAAAGGACTGGAGTACTTGTGGCACCTTAGAGACTAACCAATTTATTTGAGCATGAGCTTTCGTGAGCTACAGCTCACTTCATCAGATGTTATACCGTGGAAACTGCAGCAGACTTTATATACACACAGAGAATATGAAACAATACCTCCTCCCACCCCACTGTCCTGCTGGTAATAGCTTATCTAAAGTGATCAACAGGTGGGCCATTTCCAGCACAAATCCAGGTTTTCTCACCCTCCACCCCCCCACACAAATTCACTCTAGCAGCAGGAGAGTGAATTTGTGTGGGGGGTGGAGGGTGAGAAAACCTGGATTTGTGCTGGAAATGGCCCACCTGTTGATCACTTTAGATAAGCTATTACCAGCAGGACAGTGGGGTGGGAGGAGATATTGTTTCATATTCTCTGTGTGTATATAAAGTCTGCTGCAGTTTCCACGGTATAACATCTGATGAAGTGAGCTGTAGCTCACGAAAGCTCATGCTCAAATAAATTGGTTAGTCTCTAAGGTGCCACAAGTACTCCTTTTCTTTTTGCGAATACAGACTAACACGGCTGTTCCTCTGAAACCTGTCAGAAAAAGGACTGTTTACATACAAACTTGTACCAGTCTAGCTGAAATAGGTTTACAAACACACTTTTAGCCAAATCAGTGCAAGTTTGTATGTTGACAAAATCTTACAGCTGCAAGCTAAACTGAAATATGCCAGGTTTAAACTGAAGTAAGAGAGTCCACACAGGGTTTTGCAGCAATATAACTTAATTGGTTTAAAATACCCTTTTATTAAACTGGTAGTTTTGTGTGCAGAACAGGCCTCATCCTTGCAGAAAACTGTACTCAGCCAATAACAACAGGAGCAAAGTACAGGAGCAAAGGTGTGAACTCACCCCATTCATCACAGTAAATTGTGGACTATTTATCTACTTCAGAGTTTATTACAAACCATTAAAATGCTAACAACTTTCCTTTTCTTAAAGAAAACAAAAAAAGAAGGCAAATACACAAAAGCTATGTACTTGCAACGTTAATGTTCTACAATTAAACACACAAAGCAAAGGAATACAGCAGTTAAGGTTCTTGAATTAACATTAACTTGCTCACATTGTGCATACAGATTTGTGATTACTGGTTAGGCTACTAAATACACACTATGTGCAAAACAGAGTTCATGTTTCTGTGAGAACCTTACTTTTTGCATTCCTTGACTTTGTTCAAATATGTAACCTTAATATTTCATTAATCTAAATTTTTTCGCTAAAGCCCCAATCCTACAATCTGACCAAGTCTCCTCATTGTGTGTCAGACTTGCTGCTCCACCCACCCTCATTCTTTCCTAGGAAGTGTATTTAACAGAGCAGCTGCCCTCCTACCCCCACCAATTCCAAAGGGTGTGTGGGTGTCTAAGGCTATGTCTACACTGGGATAAAAAACCTGTGACAAGTGCAGGTCAGTTTACTTGGGCTCACAGGGCTCAGGTTCTGGGGCTAAAATATAGCTGTGTAAATGCTCGGGCTGGAGCCCGAGTTCTGGGACCCTCCATCCTCACAGGGTCCCAGAGTTATGGCTGGTTAGTCTCTAAGGTGCCACAAGTACTCCTTTTCTTTTTGCAAAGACAGACTAACACGGCTGCTACTCTGAAAAGAGTTATGGCTGGAGCCCAAGCCTGAACCTCTACACAGCCATTTTTAGCCCCACAACCTGAGCCAGGCAAGCCCAAGTCAGCTGACCTGGGCCAGCCATGGGTCTTTTAACCCATGTAGACATACCCTAAGAACTTCTGCCCTCCCACCCCCACCTCAGGGCTTGTCTATACAGCAGTGCAGCTGCACTGTTGTAGTGTTAAGAGACCTGGTCCACACTACAAAGTTAGCAAGTCAGTTTATGTCAACCTGTGTTTACACTAAAATTTCGCTCCTGCCGTAACTGCCCTATGGCAACTTACCTCCATGTGAGGTGTAGAGTCAATATTGATGTAGTTATATCAAAGCAGTGTCGGTGTACACACTGCGTTGCTTACATTGACTGTTACTGGCTTTCACAAGCTGTCCCAAAATTCCTCGCAGTGACAGTACAATCTGTACAAGTGCTCCTGGTGAGGATGCGCACCACCAACACAAGGAGCAAAGTGATGTAATTACTGTCACAGCTGTATGCCGCCATAAGTTAGGTTGACTTAATTTTGTAGTGCAGACATGCCCTCAGTGTAGACATACCTATGCCAATAAAAGGGGTTTTCCCATTGGCATAGATAATCCACCTCCCTGAGAGGCCGCAGCTAGGAGGACAGAAAAATTCTTCTATCTCACTAGTGTTGTCTACACAGGGACTTAGATCAGCTTAGCTGTCACTCAGGGGTGTGGATTTTTCACACCCCCTCGTGATGTAGCTGGGTCCATCTAATTTTCTAGCATAGAGCAGGAGCCCTCACAGCTGCTGCCCGGCTACCCCCTATATGTGTGTGTGTGTCTGTAACAGAGCTGCTGCGCCCCTGTCTCCTTGGGAAAGGGAAGTGGGTGGAAAGGTAACAATCCTAATACCCCTCCCCGCCCCATTCTCTACCAGGGAGCGGGTGTTTAAGGGAGCTGCTCCCTCCGCCCCAGGGGAGTATCAGACCCCATATCCGCCCCCTCCTGTGCAGTGTGTGTGACCGAGCTGCTGCCCCCTCACGTTAGGGGATCACTAATTAGGGCCCCGCTGTCTCCAGGGCTCCCGTTCCCCTCCAGCTCTCTCCCGCGGGGGAGGCCGCTGCCTGTCGCAGGCCCGGCTCCCTGCTGCCGCAGCGCCCTGGCCTCCCGCCGGGGTTAAGCGCGGAGACAGCGAGGCCCAGGAGCCGGGCTGGCCCGAGGGGAAGGAAGGCGTGAGGCACCAGCAGCAGCTCTTATCGCGGGGCCGGGCCTTTCCCGGGAGGCGGAGGGAGCCGAGCGAGCCGCTCTCCTCGCCGCGGGGCCGGGCCTGGACGCGCCACTCTCGCCGTCTCGCCCTGGTTCCGGTTGCCAGGCCGGGCGGCGGCGGCGGCGGCGGCGGGCGGGTCAGAGGGTAAAGGTCGCTCCCCCAGCATCCTCCGTGCTGGATACTCAGCCATCTTGGATCCGCGGGACAAGAAAATTCATGCGGTGAGTTCGGCCCCCATTATTTTCTGGCCCCCTCCCCGCGGCGCGCTCTGCCCGCTGCCTCCCAACCGGGCCCGCAGGCGCTGGCGGCGGGGCCCCTGGCGGCCCGGGCCCGGCTCCGGGGTCCCTGGGCCCGGCCGCAGCCAGCCGGGTTTCCGTTTGCTTTTGTCTCCGAGGGAGAGAGAGGGGGGGACGCGCAACGTCTGAGTCGGGAGCGGAGCCCTTAGGCCTAGCCCAGGCAGCGGCCCCGGCCTCCTCCGCCATCTCCGGCCGCGGCGGCGGCGCCCGAGCCCCGCTGTGCGGGGAGGGAAAGGCCGTCACCGCGGGAGGCGGCAGAGCCCGGGCCCGCACCCTGGGGCCTCCTCATCCTCTGTGGCACTTCACACGGCCCCGGCGTCCCTTGCTGCTCGCTGCCCCTTGCCCTGGCCGCTGCCTCCCCGTCCACCCGCGATGTCCGCCTCCTGCCTCTCCTCCGCCCCGCTCCCGCCTGTGTCCTAGTGTCTCTTCCCCGAAGCCCGTGGCCTAGTTGTGGTTCCTGATACCCTGCAGCCCCGTCGTGCATTCGGCTTGCTTAGGTGTGTGAGGATATAAGTTGGTGGTAATGTCTGTCCCCCCGTCTGTCCCCCCCCCCCCCATGTGCCTTTTGGCTCCGGGTTAAGAAACCGATGGAGCGAAATCTGCCACCCACCGACTCTGCTGCTGCTGGCTTTTCTTTATAGGCGATGCTGGGGTTTTGCTGTTTATCAGTGTAGCCTTGTGGCCTGTTATGTGTGTCCCTTGGGTGAAGAGAGGGGGTGAAATAGGGTTAATTATTTTTTGGTGTACTCTCCATAGCCTTTCTGGGGGAGGCTGAGATGATGTCGGAACAGGTTCTGATCCTCCCTCAGAAATGTTTGTTAAACAAACTTGAAGCAAACTGAACCACTTCCTCTGAGTGCTGTCTGTGTCAGATGATGTCTTGTCTTCCTGTGTGTGGTGGTGTTTCTGCTTTGAAGCAGCTTTCAGTGTGAGCCAGTGCTAATGGGAACATGCAGATACAGTAAGGGAGAGTTAATTCGTGTGTTTACAATTGTAGCTGTGTGCACATATTGAAATTTGCAAACCAAAAAATGATGCATCTGTTACTTAAACTTTTATTCTAATTCAAGTTACTTGTAACTTTAGTTTAGATATTTTGTAGTACTCTGTCCAAAACCCACCACATAGTTATGTCATTGTGGATCAGCAGTGTTTACTTTTTTAAAAATTTACTGCCAAAATTGTGGTGTTATATTGGCTTTTTATTTCATATATAAAATGTAGAGATCTCCCTTTTGATTCCTGGGTGGGAAGTGAATTAAGTCCACGAAGGAACAAAACATTCATATTGCTTGTACAACAGTAACATCTGGTGGAAGTGATTGGCTGCTGGGCTTAACTCAGCAATAGGAGAGCTTAAAGTTTATCAAACTTGCTGTCACGTCAGTCAATGGACAGGTTTCTGGAAACATGGATGCAGTTCAAACTGTTAAGATGTATGCAGAGCAGAACACCCAAATATAATTATTTAGGTTTTCATTGCAAAGATTCCTTTATTTGGACCTGAGAGTGGATTTACGCACTACGTCCTTTGATTTTTTTTTTCTGTGATCGTATTTTTCAATGTAGTCTATTGTTGATCAAAGCATGCCTGATCCAGTTCTTGAGGACTGCACTATTTTATAACATCATAATTGTTTGTGTAGAGAATTCCAGCGGACACATGCTAGGCTTCCAGATTTCAACGTGCTAGATCCTTTTGGTATTATAAAGTTACAAACTATGAAGGAATTTGAGTACAAGAACTGGCATACCATTCATTAGAAAGCAGTATTTCACACCCCCCCCCCCAAGCTGATAATAAGGCTAACATGGGGGGATCCTCCTTATCTGTGTTGTTTTGTTGTCATTTCTTTCTGAGATTTGTCTAATGCCTTTGGCTAAGAATTTTAAAAGTGACTAGTGATTTTGGGCACTTCAGTTTCTAAATGCCGAACTTGAGATGCTTGCTTTATTTTATTTTATTTTTTTAAAAAGAGGGTGAGTATTTAGTACTTGAAAATCAGGCCCATTAAGGTTTCTCCAATTGGCAGACAAAAATGGAGGTCTCAGAAATCACTCTTGACTTTTGAAAATCTTGGCCTTTGTCTCTAGCTTGTGTTAAGAGTTAGGTATGCCATTTAAGCAGGTACTTGACGTTAAATCTGAAATCAGAAACTTTCATTTTTAGGATTCAGTTTTACACAGTTTATATGGGTGCAGGATACTCTGTACATCAGTTCATTGTATCATAGTCTTAATTTTTATAGATATTTTTATATTTGAAAAATATACTTTTTACATCACTCAACTTTAATCTGTTCAAGAATTCTGTAACTTTTTCAACTTACCATTCACCCTGAAGGCAGGTATCAGTCACTAAACCGACAATGTACTGTTGCTTTCATTTTACCTTTAACCTGCATCAGACTTTCTGACTGGATCTAAAATATTGAGCCTAATATTAATTGTAGTTAGATTCTTCTGTCAAAAATTCATGTGCAAATCTCACTGAAATCTATAGGAATTGTGCACAAGTATTCAAGGACAGAATTTGGCCTTAAGCACTGCAGAATCCCTGTTGTTTTAAAGTGCTGTTTAAATAAATCTATAATCCAACCTGTTACTCGTTTGTGAAGATCTGTGTGCTAATTAAAGAATAAATGGTAGTTCCTACTTTTTCTTTAATTGTTGGTAAAACACTTGTCACATTTAGAAATATACAAAACAAATATTAGTTTAGATAGAGGGACAAATTTTCAGTGCTCTTGCCTAAGCCCATATAGAAGTGATATGCTACGTACTAATCTAAACAAAACTGAATTTCATTTGGGAGAAGAGGGAAACAAACAAAAAAGCAGTTTATCATCAGATATACAGGATAAGTCAGTCATTTTTATAATTAATGCAGAAATCACACAGTTTGATACATATTGACAAAAACCAAGACATTAAAAGTTAAGTTAAGCTTGAATCTTCTGGCCTTCGTTAGCTTATGTCAGAATCTTAATATATTTTTAAAATAGTGTTAGGAATTTGATAAAGTCATCAATGACATTTTACAGATGCATTTGTAGTTGAAAAGTCTTCTGATGTTTCAAATATACTGTGTCCAGAGAATCAGACTAGCTTGTTTTGGTTCCAGTTTCCTGGGTAGAGGTCAAAGTGTTGTGTTGTGTTATACCATAAATAAGACTATATGACTAAAATTGAGGGCATTATATTGGTCTGTTGGTGATGGCTCTGATCCTGGAAACGCTTATGCGTGTGCTCAACTTTAAGTGTGCAAGTAGCCTTGCTGACTTATTTAGGTCTATGAATTTGCATAAGTGTTTGCAGGATTGGGATCTAGATATGTATTGATGACGTTCTGAAAACTTAAAAAAATATATTGTCTGTCTAGATCAAAGTTCGTATCACTGAGCTTTATTATAACATTAAAAGATGTGTTCTTTAAAAAGTGAAATTATTGCACAGACTATTTTAAAATGCTAATAACCCTTTACTGTGGGGAATATAAGGGGGAGAGTTGACAAGAGCCATGTCTATGTTGAATTAGTGGTTACAATTAATTTTGTATGTAAACTATTTTTGAGATTCAGTATTGCTGAAATAAAAGTACTGTTTTGTTTGTACACCTTTTGAAGTAAAATCTAACTCAAAATATCTTTTGAATTTAAGGAAAAATTAATATTGTTTTTGTAAAGAAGGATCCCAAAATGTCTTACAAGTATGTACAGGTTGCCAGGTTTTAGGCTTAGGCAGGTAAAAGGGTAGGTGGTATCCTCTGAGAAAATTTTTGATGACAGAAGTGCTTATGACGCCTAATTTACACGAGAAAAGTTTGTCGGTATAGCTGTATCCTCCTCGTATAGATGCATCTTAAGCTAGCAAAAGATTGTTTTTGCTGGGATAGGTTATACTAGTTCCCTGAAAGAAGTAACCTACGCGGGAAAAGGCACCTTCTATTGGTATAACTGCATCTAAAATAAAGCTTTTGCTGGTACAGAAATGCCTTAAAAAATCACACCCCCTAACTGACAAAAGTTACCAGCAAAAGTTTCTAATGTAAACCTGTCCTCTATCCCTCTCATATGAAAAAATTTAATGGGCACTTGTCTCAAGCTTTAGTAGAGAGAGAACCGGTGACAGAATATCAGGCAGTAGCTTGAAGACTGTTATGCTGCTTGTAACAATGTACAAATGAATTACACATCATTACTGAATATGTGCAGTACCACCCCATTAGCCTATTATTGCTGTGGAGTGTATCAACAGCTGCAAATTTTTTAAAAAATCCTTCATTCTTCTGATAAATTTTGTCATGTTTCACTGAATTTCATCTCTTGCTAATACCTTTTAGGTATGTCTAGTTTTATTAATATTAGCAAGCTATAATTTTATAAGTTGCTTAGTACTGACGCTGCTGTGTACTGTACAGTACACAAAAATAAAGATAATTCCTGCCCTGCAGCTCTTAAAATAAAAAACTGTACAGCTGCACAAGTAAAAGGACACCATATTTTTCGTAGTTTTTTATTTCTAAGTTGTTTATAATACCTTCTACAAACTTGAAAATGACGTGGTGGTGGAGATTGTTACTGGTATTATGGTACTACCGATGTTTTCAAGTCATGGGCCAGGACCCCACTACTTGGCCCTGTACAAACAGAACAAAAAGATGAGCTCTGGCCTGAAGAGCCTACTGGTTTTTGTTTTCCATTTTGTAAATGTTTCCCTTCTGTTCCCTACCCCCAACCCCCTTATTTCTATAGAGTATAGTTCATCAAGCCTTTGT